ATTTAAGAATTCAATGATATGAAGTTCATTAAGTTTGTCTTACTAATATTAGGTAAAGAACAAGCGGTACGTTGTATGTTCTCCACCACTATCGATCTGTCCACCCCCCACAACCCTGCTCATATGTGATCAAAGATTCTGGAGTTTTGTTTTTTTGTGGAGCTAAATAAAATGTTACTATATGATTTATCCACATCATTGAATCATTAAATACCTTCCCACTGCATTAAGTTTAACAGCAGCCACCAAGCATCAAATAAAATCAGTTTACTTCAATCTTTCCTAGACAAGATGGTGTCTCAGGTCTTAAATTCCCTCTGACACTGACAAACACAAGCAAGCAGCACAAGGCTGATATCGATCTGTTGTTGTGGGAAATTAATGGTATTTCTTGCGGGCGTCTGAGATCTCAGTGTGGAGCTGTTCTTGACCGGCGGCTCGAGAAGGTCAGCAGATGCAGGGGGAGACCTGATTGGTATTCTCACACACTCAGCTGTAAAAGGGGGGATTGGACTTCAAAGAATTCAACCAAGGTCCTGACAGTGACCGAGGGGTCAAGCGTTTCCATGGTGACTCCAACCGGAGGGTGCTCTGGAGACTGGACTCTCACTTGTTTACGCTGGACCTTCATGTTGAGTCCAAATAAGTGGGGACAGTGTGGGTGCACAACATTATCACACACTGTGATGAGGAAAACATTCTAAACTCTCATTTAAATGCATTAGATGTAATTAAACATGTTGCCGTTACATGCTTTGCTGCTGTTCTTATTACAAGCTACAATATTCCTACAGGGGTAAAATCTGTGCACTAACTACAATCTCCACTAGAAGTCAGTATAAGGCTCAGACAAGTGCAGATGAATCACCGTCATCTGCCCTGACACTGATTAAAAAGCCTCACACAGCTTCTGGCTGTCTCAGATGAAATGTGTTTTCAAATGTGAACATGATGGTACTGATGCAGTGAGTCTGGGGAATTTGAGCCTCTCAGGTGCATGGACATGTATGTAATTGTTTTCTGGTATGATCTTGGGACTATGTGGAGATTTTAACTGTGTGGTTACTTATGTTCATTTGTTTTTTTGGTTTGTTTGAAAACCAGATTTCTCAAGAACTGCCCATCAGATATAAATCATAATTTTAGTGCTGATCCAGGAATATTTCTCTTTTCTTTAACGTTGTGAGAGAAGGAACAATTCATGGATATTTAGGGAACTCATATCTATGAGTGTGATATGTGGTAAAAACTGATTCTATTTAAAGGGACTGTTGACAGAGGT